TCTTCGTCGTTATTAAAATCGTCAAAGATCCACCAAGTCGCCTTTTTTATTAATACAAAAAAGTATTAAGTTTTTTCATGGTGACCCCGACGTGATATTTGGATTTTCGCGATCTTAATTTTCACCAAAAATAAAAACAACAAGAAAGGAAAGCTAACTTCGGGCGGAGCCGAAGTTGATATACCCTTGCAGAATACTCTGTAAATTATATTCTCCAAAATTATTCATATGATGCATTCTGAATACTCATAAAAAATCCCAACTTCCTAACTTTAAAAACACCAAAGTTATGGCATTTCCAATCGTTCAGTTATATGGCAGCTATAGGATATAGTCGGCCGATCCTTATGAAGTTTGGTAGGTTGGATTGATTGGCCAAAAATAAAACCCATAGAAAATCCCAACTTCCTAACTTAACAAACACCAAAGTTATGGCATTTCCGATCAATCAGTTATATGGCGGCTATAGGATATAGTCGGCCGATCCTTATGAAGTTTGGTAGGTTGGATTGATTGGCCAAAAATAAAACCCATAGAAAATCCCAACTTCCTAACTTAACAAACACCAAAGTTATGGCATTTCCGATCAATCAGTTATATGGCGGCTATAGGATATAGTCGGCCGATCCTTATGAAATTTGGTCGGTCAGATTGATTGGCCAAATATAAAACCCATAGAAAATCCCAACTTCCTAACATTACAAACACCAAAGTTATGGCATTTCTGTTTGCCTCCTATTGCAAGTTGCCAATGCTTAAGACTGCCACTAGGGCGTCCCCTTCGGCGTTCGTTAACGTGATGCTTGGGCCGGCTCTGTCGTGATATGCTGCTTTCAGCTCTGCCCAGATATCGAACAGTTGTGGATCGTTCTCTGTTTCTGAATAATATTCTGACAATGCCTTTCTCATGTCGTCCAATCTACCATCAAGGGTGATATAAAGCCTCTGTGCGACACCGACGAAGTCCTCCTCCTTGAGGCGGTAAATCCACTTATTCCCATTTTTAATCTGTTCCTCTTACCGTTGGGACAATTACGTTGGGCGCCAGATGCAACGAACTGATTTAATTGGTCTGTTCGCTACGAAATTCATGCGGCTAGCTCTGAAGATTGTGTGTTCGTCCCACCAAATTTATATGATGTGATTGCCCGCAGATCAGTGAGACAACACAGGATTCGAATGGTAACAGTGGGTTTATTCTTGTGCTATTTGTTACAGTGGGTATATGGCTTGGCTGGTCTCGGTATTGCCTCGCGATGGTTTCACTGGCTGCTAGTATTGCTCGTCCTGGCTTGTCGACGCGTTGACTTGGTGACCGCTGGCTCCTTCTTGCGTCTCGGGATGCTCGTAGTGATTCGTTTTTGCTTTCTCGCCGACGCGTTGACTCGAGGCCGCTTGTCGCGCCTTGGACTCGCAGAGAGATCGGCCTTGCGGGCTTAGGGAAGCGTCACCGTTCTCAGACTAGGGTGAACAGGCCTTGCTCTCCAGGACAACGCCTTTTGAGACAATGATCGCCTGTCCCGGACGGTCCCACTAGGATTTCGCTCGGTTCGCGCTGACAGTTCAGGCTAACGCCAGGAAGCTGCCTAGCAGTTCACTTTGCTTTACGCCTAGCGCGGACGAACGTTCCACCCAGCCTCACCATTGCTTGACGTCCTCGACGCTCCTGCGCTCCCTTAATGAGTTCCGTGCTGCGATCGTGACGTGGCTGCTTTCGAACTCTGCTGGCGTTGCTGTCGATCTCCTCTGTTCTGCTTCTAGGACGACTGCCGTTCCGGGACTGAACCGCTGGGTTCCTCCACGACAATTCCTCTTGAATGCCTCAACGGGTCGAATTCTCGCCCTTCCTGGCTGGTGTCGGTAGCTGGCTGTTTCCGGGATTAGGTTGGGATTTCGTTGTCTCTAGGACAACGCCTCTTGAAACCACAAATCGATCGTTTTTCGCGGAAGGTCCTGCTCAGTCGAGCACGGCATACTGGGTCTTCGACGACATTCCCCCCGAGCTCACGGTTCCTCGTCGCAGGACTCTATTTTTCGACTCTGACAGACCCGCCGAGCGATACGCCAGGGTGCGGTCATGACAAAGTTAGAAGCAAGCTCCTTGACTTAGCCGTGTGACGCCTTCCGGACCTCAGCTACATGTGACTCAATTCGGAGATTCCTGATGTTCCGATCCCGAACTTCTCGACGTAGCGATCTTGCTCCTTATGGACATCTCACGGCGCTGCTTCGGACGACTATATCTGTTGTTGCTGGTTTTGCTAAGGTTGACTTGGTCTTTTGTAATTCACTGATCTTGACGGATTGACTCCTCGTAATAGACTGATCCAGATTCCAGCCTTTTTTTAATTTTTTTTTTTTTTACTTTTTTTTAATCATTTTTTTTTTTTTATTTTATTTTTTTTTTTTTTTTTTTTTTCCTTTTTTTTTTTTTTTTTTTTTTTTCTTCTTCTTCCTTTTTTTTTTTTTTCTTTTTTTTTTTTTTTTTTTTTTTTTTTCTTTTTTTTTTTTTTTTCCCTCTTCTTTTTTTTTTTCCTTTTCTTTTCCTATTCCCCTTTAGCATCTCCCTGTCCTTCTTTTTTTTTTTTTTTTTTTTTTTTTTTTTTTTTTTTTATTATATATTGTTTTTTTTTTTTTTTTTTTTTTATATTTTTTTATTTTAGGGGGGGGGTTATTATATTTTTTTTTTTTTTTTTTTAAAATCAATTGTAGTTGTTTGGTCTACTTTCGAAAATTTGCAGATTTTATTTAGGCCCTTTTAGATCCCATTAAGGAATCCTCCACTTGCTATACCTCTTCCGCAGTCCGTGTGGCGAGTAAAAGTATTGCTCGTTTATCTCCTCGTTATTTTCTACAAATATTTCAGGAAGTACAAATATGTCAGGCTCATTTACTAGTTTAGAAATAGTTATAAAAAATTCGTTTGCCGTTCAATTCTGCTATGTTGTATGCTAAAAGTTTTAGAAAAGTTGGGGCAGGTTAATGTTGTATTTTCTTCGCTGGGGTTCTGTTGCTTGATTCTGTATGTCCTAACATCCCGTGGTGTTCATCAATTACAAATATTTGTTACCTATTTAGAATAAATTTTTTTAATCGATTTTGCGGAGTAGTTTTTGATTGGTAATGTTCTCTTTGCGGCTCATAAGGATCTGGTTTGCGTTCCAGTAGATCTTACTCTATGGTCATGCCAGCTATTCCTCTCGAGTCGCGCTTTTCTGCCACCTCAGGGGACAATTCTAATTTTTAGGCTTAGAACTGGCGCCTTTACTTCGAAAGTGATGACTTTCAAACTGTGGTGTATAAACTGCAGCGGGCAGAGAAATCTTAGCTGCAATCGCAGACAGCTTGTGGTGGATTGTATTAAAAAAAAAACTTTGAAACCGGTGTTCTGCCAGCTGATCGACGAGTCTATATTCGCATGTGGCAGGTTGAGTGAAAGATTTTTCTTTATTTTACTTCGGCGCAATTTCCCTATTTCCGCGAGTTTGAGTGAATTCGATGCAACAACAAATCATGAAGAGTCAATTAAATTGGCGAACTTATATTTCTAGTCTTCCTGGTTTCCTGAGTTTTACAAGTAGGTACGCTAGTTGCTATTTGGGTGCTCTAATTAACTCTTTTCGTAGTTATAATTGATATGTTTTGCAGAGCCTCTCTGGGGCACGTCCTTTCTCTTCTTCTCTCATACACTTTCTCTATTGATTTTTATATGATCGATAACAAACAATTTCTGTATTGATGTTTATCCTAAATATGCAGAATTCCGACGCCGCCACAATTATTCCTGCTCCCCAAGGAGGGAAGACGGAAGCAGATATTACCAAACTTAATTTTTTATTTTTTATTGGTTCGTTATTTCTTTTTGTTACTAGTGTTAAGAGAAAACAAAGAATTTGATAGTTTAATATCAGGTTGTCAAATATCTCGCTTCCGCTTCCGCAAATGAAAAACTCTTTCCCTACGTGGCATCACTGAAAATGTCACTCAAAACCCCAGGCAGAGCAAATGACGCCTCTTACAGATTCTTACTCTTTGGCATCGGAGCCTAGTAGAAGTTCTTGGAAAGCCGGAAAAATTAATATTTAAGCGAGACCGAGTCGGTAAGAACTGAGAATAAAAGATGAAATAATGAATTATAGCTTAGACAACGAGTGTGTATTTTTTTCCCTGACCTTCGACCTGTCATAATCAAGCTCACCAAATAAATGAATAACTATAACAAGCGATATTAATACTAACCCAAAAATTGATCAAGCGTAACGGAACCTTAACCGCTACACGCAATTAACTTATAATAATTACTGTAGTTTGCTCGAGTTTCACCGTAGTTATTAATGCACCCAGAGCCCGCCCGCGTTTCACCGTAGTTATTAATACACCCAGAGCCCGCCCGAGATTATCGTAATTAGTAGTGAAACCCAGGGACTCGCCCGTGTTTAATGTAATTTGTAATAAAACCCAGGGGCTCGCACGAGTTTTATCGTAATTAAACCCTGTCTCGACCGAATTTTATCGTAGTTACTTATAAAGCCTGTAACCAACATAGGGTTTTACCATAGCTGGTTACCAAGTCCACCGGCCGCCCGAGCTTGGTAACAGATCCTGGGTCTGATCACGTACCTTCCGTTTTGGTTTCCCCATATTCTACAGACCATGCCTAAAAACTCACTCAGTTAACCCACTGTAAATTTATAAATATTTTTCTGGTGGCCTGAATGAACTCCCAAGCCCTTTAAATTGCTTTACTACTACTACGCCTCTGGATCACAGAAACAAAGATGGTAAATTCAAATTGTTTTCCGGGTTTGTACGAATAAATATTTGGCTCAATATTGCATCGTAAAGAAAAAAAAATTTCAAAGCTAACCTTTTTAATGTGAACTTGTTTTTATATGCAAAATAAAAATTCGTAAAATAATTACAAGGAAAAGAAAAACTATTTTTTTGGAATTTTTTTAATATTTTGTAAGATGTAAAAATAGTAAAATTGATTGACTTACACTTGTCGGCCGCGCTCAGCTCCTTGCTGATCTCTCGCGTGAAACAACCACTCAGCCCAATGTCATAGAACTGCTGGCGGCAATTGTTGCATCGCAGCGCTTCTAGAACCAGGCAATCTTCGCTTTTAGGCACTTGGTTCGCCACCATACTCTTGTCTCTTTGTTTGTTGTCAAGACGCTTTCTCAGAGAGCAAGTTAAGCGAGTCAGACGACAGATCTCGGAGTCCTTGTCCAGAAGTTGCTGGTTGATCACTTTAATATCGTTCTTGAGCTTTATCTCGAAAAGAAAAAGGGATTTGATTACGCTGGACAGCTCATCAGTGCGGCGCCGCCTTTCCTTCGCCAGATCCCGGTGCAACTGCTTGTTCTGCTGATCATAGCCGGAAATCATTTGGAGAACCCGCCGTCGTTGCAGTCTCTTAGAGTACGCTATTGTGGGGAGTGTAAGGCCACCGTCAATTTTACTGGAAGTTCCTGAAGAACTTAATCCAGAGGAGTAGCCGAATTCTGCGGAGAGACAAAAATTAGTTGGTGTGAGTAACTTTTAAAATAAATATCACCACCGTTGCAAGCTCTTATTAAAAGGAGGAAAGCGAAAAAATTAGGTATTACATAGTTCGGAAATGGATTCTATTAGCCTGCGACATTTTTAAATTATTTCAATTCAAAAAGAGGGTAAAAAGCAAGATTTCGATTGAAGTACCCTGATGATTTAAGTGGAGAAAGACATATTCCATTTGCACTTGCAGATCGCCTTTCTCGGTGTTCATTGAGTTTATTTAATGGAGTTAAGAATAGAAATTTTGAGTAGTGTTTTTATGAAGCTTTTCTGCGGTAGGTGGTAAAGAAGTCAGAATGCGCTTATAGAGCTCCAATCGGGAAATAAAGTTATAGCTTTAATAATTCTTAACATATGCCAATGTAGTCCGATATTTAGTATCTTTTGAAATTTAAAAAATACGGTATTAGTTTTATAAAAATCGGACGACTGAATGCTATAGAAACAATAGGGGAAAAATTAAAATAAAACAAGAGAGAACGCTACAGTCGGGTGCCCCGACTATCAGATACCCGTTACTCAGGTAAAGGGAGTGCGAGGGAGATGGAGATAGAAACTTTGATCACGCATAACTTTTTAACGAATGGTCCGATTTGAAAATTTTCTTCTACATTTCGATAGGTATTGATAAACACAATAACACTGCATTTTTACTTTTCCGACATATTTAAATTTTTAAAATTGTATATAAGCGATTGTGGGCGTTAAAGGGGGCGTGGCACCTTTTTGAAACAAACTTGCGCTGCGTAGGAACTCCTAGAATCTGCATGCAAAATGCCAATCTTCTAGCTTTTATAGTTTCCGAGATCTCAGCGTTCATACGGACGGACAGACGGACAGACAGACAGACGGACAGACGGACATGGCTAGATCGACTCGGCTAGTGATCCTGAACAAGAATATATATACTTTATAGGGTCGGAAACGCTTCCTTCTACCTGTTACATACTTTTGCACGAATACAATATACCCTTTTACTCTACGAGTAACGGGTATAATGATGACTTCATTGTTTTTAAACATAAGCCCACTTCAATATATATAATATTAATTCTTAAAGATTTCAAAACGACGGCTTTACTTTCATAAAAATCCAACGCATTTATCATAAAGCTGGAACGATTAGAAAATGTGTCAGAAAATCTACAGAGACTATGTAACCAGAACATAAACTTGTGTTCAAATAAGTCGAGAAATAAGTATAAGAAACAGAAGTTAGACTAATTATTTGAACGCGCGCCCACCCACGACCTTTCTAGTCACACCTATTCGCCAATCAGCGACCATATTTCCCGATAACAAGCTATCGGCCAGGAACGAGTATAGGCACCCAGACTAGAATGGGTAAGTTGTTCTCCGGCGATCTATCGAGGAAGACATTAAGGTGAGTGTCATTTTTATACCCGTTACTCGTAGAGTAAGAGGGTATATTGTATTCGTGCAAAAGTATGTAACAGGTAGAAGGAAACATTTCCGACCCTATAAAGTATATATATTCTTGTTCAGGATCACTAGCCGAGTCGATCTAGGCATGTCCGTCTGTCTGTCCGTATGAACGCTGAGATCTCGGAAACTATAAAAGCTAGAAGATTGGCATTTTGCATGTAGATTTTAGGAGTTCCTACGCAGCGCAAGTTTGTTTCAAAATGGTGCCACGCCCGCTCTGACGCCCACAAGCCACAAGCTGTGGCCACAGTTTTGATGCTATTATGAAAATATTAATTGATATGTATTTGTTTCGACAATACCTATCGATTGGCCTAATAAAAGTTTGCCACGCCCACTCTAACGCCCAAAAACTCATTAAACGCTTAAGCCTGGCTAGCGCCTACATTTCCGCCTTTCATGGCCCGCGGTACCAATGTCTTGGGGTAGATGGCGCAATACAATAGCGCCATCTAACGGATGACTTTGGAACAGCTGGTCAAGGTGCTCAACAGAGTCAACGTTAATTCTCGATAAGGATTTCTATTTAAGGAAATGGCGATTGTTTTCATTTGCTATATCCCTAGAACTTTGCAAATCAATCAAGTTAGCCAAATTGGAGGTCTGAGTCAAACAATGGCGTATGTGTGTATGATGGTGCAGGACAAAAGCTGCCTGCGCTAAAGCAGCGCTGGTGCTGATGCTCGTGCTGTAAAGCTGCCAGCACTAAGAGATCGCCTAATTCAAATTGATAATTTGAACTTGTTGTCCTTTTTTCCTGTGGTCACTTAATTCACATTATGTTAATGCAAAATCTAAAGTTGTTTAGCGGAGCAACGGGTATCTAATAGTTGAGGCACTCGACTATAGCGTTCTCTCTTGTTGTATTTAGTAGTTGGTAATGGTAGTAGCTGTTGATTTATAGGATGTGACCCAACTCCTCGGTTCTTAATCGGGTTTCAAATGCTCATACGGGGATTCGGTTCAGAATCGACCCTCGTAGAATCCGGTTCGCAATCGGTTTTACCGATCTGTTGCCTACAGATCAACTCCAGAACCGGTCATGATCGTTTTGTCCGGAATCGGTTCAAGGATCGGTCCAGACGTTACATCTCCGGCTCCCGACCGAACACAGCGATGCCCTAACCAACCCACTGACTCAGCATACTAGTCCCCGCTCACATACAGGACCAGAACACATGATCCGCGAGACTACGACGAACGCACTATATAGCCACTCCGATCCATCGCGGGCCGACAAGAAAAATATAAATTTCTGTCCCTAACCTTGACCGGCGAGCTATACCGCCTTTCCACACAGGGTCGTTACACTACGTAACTTCCGTGTATTGAATATTTATTTTAAAGCAAGGGATTATAAAATTTGAATTAAATTGATAATATTAATACGATTTTTTAATGCTTTTTTTTAATGGGTGAGATCTTGATTTTTCAAAGAGAAAATATTATTTTTTGCTTAGAAAATGGGAAAATAATATTTGTTTTTAATACGGCTGTCTACTCTTAATATTTATATTTGCTTTTGAGCTATTAATTCGCTGCTTTAAAATTATATTACCTGTTTTTCGATGGAAGTAACATTCACGTCCGGAGATATTGTGACATGACTTTTATACTAAATACTAAGACTTTTATTCCTATTACTGATTCATTGCCATTCTAAAATCAAAATTAAGCAAACTTGACAGGAAATCACTATAAATATGCCCGAGGCACCGGGTCATCATTTTATTGCATGGAGCTAGCTTTCATTATAAAATTATGTACTTAGTATTGAGTTTAATTTTATAAATAAATAAAATAAATAAAGCCTCGCTAGCCCCAAAGTCTTTTCATTCGCGCAACACCGTTCCCCTTAGATAAATCCTTATCATAGGAAATACTTAACTGGCACCCAACGCGTTTGTTTTCCCATGTGAACAATTTGCATCTAAAAATATTGAAAAGAGAGTGAGGGCAATCTCGGCATATCGAAAAACGGTTGGTTTTCGGTGTACATTGTAACTAATGGCAGAATCATCTGAATTGAAAAAATCAAATTGCATTATTTAAAAGTAACGCCGTCAAGTTGTTATTTTTTAAATTTTTTACGATTTTTAAAGGCACTTAAAAGTCAAAAACCTCGATTTTTGCCCAAAAAACCGTAAAAATACATTTCCCAAAAACAATTAAATTAAAGAAGTACTGTGCAATTTTAAAATTTTTAAAACGATTCATCCAGTAGATTGTACACCGACTTTGAAATTGGCAACTTTTCAGAAGAGCGTTGTCAAGTTTTGAACACGTAAAATTCTAGTATAAAACGCGGTAACTTACATACGTTAAACCAAAGACCTATATAAACTCAAAGATTTTTTTGCACACGAATTTTTTGTGCTGGCTTTTCACTGGCTTTTCGCTCTCTGCCCAAAAGCCAGCGAGAGAGCGCTCTAAAGCCAGCCGCTCTTTTGCACGCATACTGCGACAGCCGACGAATGTATGTGTGCACATGTTGTTATATTATTGCCATCATATTTTTATAATAATTAATAGTCACTTTGTTTTACTTTTCCATGGGCAGATCTTTATTATTGAATTGTCCAATTGATAATGAATTTCAGTTAGCTATTTGCGGCTGCGCTGCCTGCAAACATTGGCAGCGGCCGTCATATATATCGAAGTATATGCTCGCAATTGTATTTGTGTTGGTAGCACTGAGAGCGCGAGGGAAGTTGTACATGCATGCCTTGTATGTGTCCGCACTCAGGCCATGGGAATATGCTGACACTAGCACTTCCCATAACTTGGGCTCTGAGGCACATTCATATTTCGGCTGGCCGCAAAAGTTTAGCGGCCGGCGCTTTTGTATTTGTTTAGGTACACTGTAATACAATGTTGGTGTCGGTACAGTGGGTACTCGCTACAATGATACATGCATACTACATCTCCCTCCTTTTGAAAAATAACGTAATTCTATGAAGTTATTTTCTTACTATATGTATATAAAATATAAATGAACATCTTGTTATACCCTTGCAGAGGGTATTATAATTTCAGTCAAAAGTTTGCAACGCAGTGAAGGAGACATTTCCGACCCTATAAAGTATATATATTCTTGATCAGCATCACCAGGAGAGTCGATCTAGCCATGTCCGTCTGTCCGTCTGTCCGTCCGTCTGTCCGTCCGTCTGTCCGTCTGTCCGTCTGTCAGTCTGTCCGTCTGTCCGTCCGTTTCTACGCAAACTAGTCCCTCAGTTTTAAAGCTATCTGCTCGAAACTTTCCCAAAAGTTGTCTTTCTATTGCAGGTAGTATATAAGTCGGAACGAGCCGGATCGGGCGACTATATCATATAGCTGCCATATAACTGAACGATCGGAAAAGCCATAACTTTGGTGTTTTTAAAGATAAGAAGTTGGGACTTTCTATGGGTTTTATTTTTGGCCAATCAATCCGACCTACCGAATTTCATAAGGATCGGCTGACTATATCTTATAGCTGCCATATAACTGATTGATCGGAAGT